GTACCCCCTCTTCTACAAACTACGGCTCTTTTCCAGAATGGCTCCTGTGTGCTCTTGTTGTAAATATTTATGAGTTTCCACATCTTGCTGCTCAGATGTTAACTCAGCACCACTGTCAGAACTAAAAGCTTTTCTCCGGTCTGAAGCTTCACTCACAGCTCACTCTGTCTCTGTCTCACAGTGCATTTCCTCAGATCCGTCTTTTCCTTGCATCATACTCCTGCCCACATAAGATACAAAAAAGATGCGGTGGGGGGGACAATCTTTAATTTGAAGTGTCCAACCACCCCTTGATTTCAGATAAAGGGCTGTGTCCGTCCATAAAAGACTACTGAAGGATGCTCATTTGTGTCCTGTCCTCACTCCTAAGAGCTCCGAGACGTCCTTCAAGATGGTGGATCAAAGAATGATCAAACAAGGGAACTGGGATTTATCCAATGTAAATCTAGCAGCTACATTTCAGCACACAGCCGCTGTGGGTTTGGATGTTTCAGTAATCACATTAACCCAATGCCAACTTGACCGAGGTGGAAAGCATGATTGGCTGCTTGTATTGCAATGATGATGTGTTTTGCTGGATGAATGATTGACAGGTTTTCTCTACATGAGCTTCTTGGGATAAACAGCTTCATGTGTCCTTCAACACTGGAACTCAAAGCTCCATTGCTTTGTGATTGGACCCTATTGGTGCCAGTGCTGTGCAGTAGTTCTTTGGCCTCCTTAAACTACAGCTTTGAAATGAGTTTTAATTGACCCAGTTGAATCTGAGTAAAGGTATTAAAATCAAACATTTATTCAGAATCAATTTATGGTCTCAAGATGACAAAAGCCTTCATATAAACACAGCAGCTGTCGGGATCTTTTGTTCTTAATTTAGCAGATAAACAAGTGAACATGCGCTCGTCCTCTCTCAGCAGCCAGCGACTAAAGGCTGCATGTGCTTGTGTGTTTTTTGTGACCCTGCCATGCGTTTGCTGTCAAACAGCAAGATTTATGACTGACCTCTCTCTCTAGAAATCACAGAGACAAAAAGTTTTCAAACCAAGATGTACAAAGAGGCCATTACAGGCACAGGCCAGACTTGCCACTGTCTAGATTTACTGTTATAGGAATGTTCATTCTTTGTAATCCTGCCAATAAATACAAAGTATATTCTAATCTAAATGTGCATCCTCATCTGTCAGGATTCATATTGATCTAAATTAGCTGATGCAAGAAGCTAGACATACTGTAAGATTCTACCTTTGATTGCCTTTTAAATTTAAAGTTACAAATCAATGTTCCTGAAGTTGATTTCTGTCATTTTAGGCATCGCATTGACATGTGTACAAGATGGCAGCCCCAAGCTGCTGATATTGACATGTCATCCATTTTTATATACAGTCTCTGGGTCAGTGAGTCTGGGAGGAAGCTGTTTTTATGTGTCTGATCATCATGACTGGTCAGTTGTCTCAGATCTGAGCTGTTGACATGGCGAAGGAAACATTGCAACAAAAAACAGATTTTAAAAATATTTAAATTACATTAAATTTAACTTGACAAATTGCTCAGTGTGAGAGATCAGCCTTACTCTACCCAACACACTTCAGGTCTCTACAAGCTTCTTATGGTGAACTGAAATGACCTAAAACTTTGCTGCCTTGGAGGAAGAAAGTCAGTTGGAAAGAAAAGTCAGCAGTGATTTCAAGTTTCGGTTGTTGCCAATGAACTACACATAAAAGACAATGCTCCAGTAAACTTCAGGTATTAGAGGTCTGTTTTCTTATCGGACAGCCTGATTCTCTTCATTGTGTAATCATCTCTACCATGTACACACTTTGAATCCAGTTTTTCTTCTGCTTCTCTTTCTGCAGGTGAGCCACACCTTGCTAGCTGCAACACAGGCAGAGATGCTCACCTTTAGATGAAGCCGCGCCGTCAAGTTCACTGTACGACCTCATCAAGTTGGACTTGCATGAACCTAACAGCATAACAGACACGCACATGCACAGCAGGTACAAGCTAGACTGTAGAAGGAGCTACAGTGAGAAACACTTTGAGTTGAATTAGTCAAACTGGTAACGTGGTCAAGAGGAAAACGGTTGGTCTCTTAGTTTCAAATCACACAGTTATGCACAGTCTGAGAAACAGACAAGTGTATATACGCCCACACAGACACAAAGCTGGGACAAAAACTGCACACTATTAAAGTCACACACACACACACACAGCAGCCGTCAACTGCTGCTCAACTAAAACAGTGTTTAGAGTTTCAACTCTTCACCTCAGCCTTGCACCATCAGATCTGCCACAGGCTATAATTACAGGCGAGGAGATGGGCGGCGGTCCAGCCTGATCTGGCTCGCCTGCGTCAAAGATGACTCTGCCCTCACCTCGTGGCAAAGTGCACGCCTACATGCACAAATGTACACGTGCACTTTAAATGAGCAGATGTATTTTTAAAAAAAGTGTTCATCAACAACCGCTGAGGAGTGAGAGATGGAACAAGAAAAAGAAGAGGAGCAGAAAGTTCAGGAATGTGCAGGTACACCGTCTGACACACCCGCTGTTCAGACACAACCTGAACACACGCTCCTGGAAACTCACCCTGAAAATGTAAACATACAGTAAACAGTATGCTGTGGAAGAATTTCCTTTGATGCAGCCCAGTCCCAACCTACAACATGTCTAAACCCTGTTTAAGGGCCTGTGCTAAATATTCCCCAGAACAATAAAACCTAAAAAAAGTTAACTGGCAAGCCACACTAAGCACGACAGCTCACAACACTGTTGCATTAAGCCTGTTTAACATCTTATTTCTGTATCAAATTTAAAAACCTATAGTCATCAAGAATATGGAGAGGTTATAATTTTAAAGTTAATTGAGTGTAGACAGACACCGTGTGTGATGTGGACATTGGGTCCTCAGATTTCATCTGTACCTAGAAAACGCTGAACATTAGACACCTCACAAGAATAAATCTGTAAAATGGCTCTTGCATAAAGTACTTTGACTGAAGGGCTGTGCAAGAAGTCAAAGTATCGCCTTACACCCAAAGACTAAGGGCAACATCCCCGTGCTATTGGAGTGGGTTTGTCTACCTGATGTATGAAGGCTAATATTACCCTATTCGCTCAGGCTGGGACCCCGACTGCCCCAGAGAGCAATCTAACACCCGTTTAGCTGCTCCATGTCCCACTGCTGTCTGCTTGTGATGGTATTGTACAGTGAATGGGTTTATTAGTGGAGGTGCAGAGTTGTAGATAGTATTCATTACAAAATGGTTGGTTTTTATTTTTATTGTTATTGTCACTGAGGCCACTGTGAAGGCCTTTGTGGTGCATTCAAGGTCATTCCCAGCAGCTGCTGAACAACATCCCTCCAATAAAACAGAGCTGTGGTAAGAGAAACGGGCCGGTGGCGCCACCTAGTGGCTGCACCTATGCTCTACTTCCTGCGACAAGTCGACATGTCTACTGCCGCATCATCTCAGTTACTGGGACCGCTCATTTCTTGAGGGTTGAACAGACTTTGAACCTTCAGTTGAATTAGTTTCACTTCAGCACCGCAGTGATGCAGATGATCAGAGTTCAGCCTTTCACAGCTGTAGTCAGTTCAAACTACCCAGAGCAGCTAAACTACAGAGACAGGAAACCAGTAGATTTAATAAAAGTAAATCTTTTTAGCTGTCCAGCCTCCATCAGTGTCAGTCATACACTGTAGCTGCCTTTTAAACAGTGCATCCAGGTGATTGTACTCAACGTAATTAGCATTACACAAGGCAATCAGGTACTGTATGACGACCAATGAGCATCCAGCATTAGCACAAAAGAAAATAATTAAACCAGTTCAGGCCCTCCTAGCACACCCAGCGTCCACATTTTCTTTTTCTCATTTGTGAAAACATTACTTTGTATTTGATGCTCTGAGACCAATATTGCAGGAAGCCACAGAAATAAAAGCCTTTTAAAATTAGTTGCATAAAAAGAAATGGCTTGGCTTAATTTGGCTTTGAATAATGTTTTGGTCTTATGAGACCTGGCAGTCTCATCCACCTTCATGTGCTCACTCCATGTTACTGTGTCAGACTCTAGCAGTGCTGTGGAGAATGTCTGGTTCAGATGAACATTTACTCTAATGCTCAGGGATAATTCCATATGCACTGAAACAGCATTGGATGCTGCGCCATTAGAAATCTAAACATTGCTGCCATCTGTAGAGCTCATTCTTAGTCATTCATCTGATAGTTTTAATCATTCACCTCTTTCTTTTTATGAGAATGAGCCTTTAGTCACATCTTTGGACTTTAACAGTGGTTTGTGACAGTGTCCATCTGTGAGGGCCAATCAGGGCAATATAAGATCTTCGTTAGCTGGGAATGCGTTTTACTCCTGGTACTGGAGTGTGTACACAGTGCACTTGTGTGGATTCATGTTTACAGATATAGAAAAGGCTCCATTCCACCAGTTTAAGGACCAACAGGATTATTAGCAGCAGAGCAAAAAGGTTTTTGTTGTTTGTTTTTTTAGAGCTGCAAGTATTACGTGATTATTGGTGGACAAATGGGCAACTATTTGGATAATTCAAGGATTTATGACCATTTACAAGCAGAGCTTTGCAAAATGACAGTTGTCCAGTGTGAATATTTATAGACTACATTATGGTAAATTGAATATTAAAAAACAGCCTAAATGCTATTTAAACATTACTTTGTGTTCTGTAATTATTATTTCTTTTTTTTTTTACTAGCCTACATTTGACAAACTAACCAATAAATCAACCTGGCAGATTAATCTGTATTGTTGCTTATTTTTGGTGAAAATCACCGACAGAATTTCCAGAGATGTCTGTCATTTTCATTTCTTATCATCCCAAAGCTAGATGAAATTAAATCGCACCAGTCCAGAGGACTGAATAACAACATGGCTGCTTCCAAGCAGCTGCTCGTAAAATTAATTTTACATTTGTTCGTTTCTATATTTTAAGAATCACTGTCGAGTGGACTGTCCAGTCTCTCTCCATGAAAGAGACAGTGCACTGGTTCATCTGATGAAGCGGGCGAGAGAAGAACATCTCCACCGAGTCATTTTACCAAGGACAGAAATCGTGGTTCATCAATTCAGACATTAACTAATTTGAGCTCGTTTCATGTCCAAAGCTGAAAGGCTCTGCACTGACTCGGATGACAGTAATCTATTACCTGAGGAGGGAATGAGCCCCGCAGCAGCATCTGCCTGGAGGGGATTCAGAGCGCGCCAGTCCAAGAGAGCGGTCCGCTGGGACTCACACCGGGACAGAGACCTGTCCCCTCCCGTGGAGACACTGAACTTCCACTCGACTAGTTAGTATCACCAATTCATAGTTTTAAATCCGTACCATTATTTACGTGGATAAACGCGATCACGCCTTGGTACGAATTTGCGCTTCGGCTGTCGGGAATAAGATCTTAATAATAAAAGAACGCACGCAAATGAGGAGCAACAGAGGTTTTGATGAACAAAGTCACCTTTTCTTCACTGAAGCATCATAGGATGCTTTGAATAGTAGGAGCAGCTGGAAACATGAAAGCTGTTGCGTGTGGCCATTAAGTGCCGATACTCCGTTTGGAAATGGAAAACTACAGTATGTGGTGTAACTTCACTCAAGTTCTGTTGAAGCTGGATGAGACGAGCGGTGAGGAAGAGGAGGAGGACAGCGGCAGCGGTGGGGGGAGCGGCGGATTGCGCGTCCTCATCGGCTGCATCCTCTTCCTGCTCATCGTGTCCACGCTGCTCGGGAACACGCTGGTGTGCGCTGCCGTGGTCAAGTTCCGCCACCTGCGCTCCAAAGTCACCAACTTCTTCGTCATCTCGCTGGCCGTGTCTGACCTGTTCGTGGCCGTGCTGGTGATGCCCTGGGAGGCCATCACTGAGGTGACTGGCTCATGGCTGTTCGGACGGTTTTGTGATGTCTGGATCGCTTTTGACATCATGTGCTCCACTGCATCCATCCTCAACCTGTGCATCATCAGCGTAGACCGCTACTGGGCCATCGCCAGCCCGTTCAAGTATGAGCGCAAGATGACTCACCGTGTGGCTTTTGTCATGATTGGGGTGGCCTGGACACTGTCGATCCTGATCTCCTTCATCCCAGTGCAGCTGAACTGGCACCGGGCCGCAGAGGAAGAGGAGGACATGATGGAGGAGACTGTGGAAATGATGACTGGCAGGAACTTCACAAACAGTAGCATCCTCAATGCCAGCACTGCGGCCGAAAGCTGCGTTGCCAACCTGAACAGAACCTATGCCATCTCCTCCTCCTTCATCAGCTTCTACATCCCAGTGGTGATCATGATTGCCACCTACACCCGGATCTATCGGATTGCGCAGACCCAAATCCGCCGGATCGCCTCTTTGGAGCGGGCAGCGGAGCAGGCGCAGAACCAAGGTTATAGTGTGAACCGGAACCAGCAGCAGCAGCAGCGCAGGCCCAATGATGAAGCTTCCCTGAAGTCGTCCTTTAAGAAGGAAACCAAAGTCCTGAAGACTCTTTCCATCATCATGGGGGTTTTCGTCTTCTGCTGGCTGCCGTTCTTCGTCCTCAACTGCACCGTTCCCTTCTGTGACCCGCCCTGTGTCAGTGACACCACCTTCACCGTCTTCGTTTGGTTCGGTTGGGCCAACTCCTCACTCAACCCGGTCATTTACGCATTCAACGCGGATTTCCGCAGGGCCTTCGCCACCATCCTGGGTTGCAACAGAATCCTCTCAAACACCACAGTGGAACCTGTGAACTTCAGCAACGAGCTTGTCTCTTATCACCATGACACTACGCTCCACAAGGACGCACTGGTCCCCGCACAACTGCCGCAGCATCCACGCAACATTAAGGTCGGGTCTGACAACCTGGAGAGCGTGAGCGCACAGTTTGACCAGGAGTCACTCATCTCCCACGGCTCCCGTAGTCAGAGCAGACCGCTGCTGCTTCCTGCCACCGTGCAGTTCGAGGATGACCCAGAGATCTCTTTGGAAACGATCACTCCGTTTACCTCGGCGGCGGGGCTGGAGAGCGAGGTGCTGATACCTGGACAGGTGCATCGTGACGGATAGGACTGAGTGGCCTGACAGGAGGTTGGGCTGCGTTTCCTGCTAAACAAAAGCTGTAATTAAACTCCATAACATCTGTTGCTTTCCATGTAGAATAATGGAGCTTAGACAGCTGCTCTTTAAAACCTGGAGAAAGGTATAAACTGACTTAGCAAGTTTGGAGATCAATACAATTATTGTATCACAAGCCTAATTTATTACATGGATCCACTGTATCTGAATGTGGTGTTTGCTCTTTTCACTCAGTGGATCTCTACGTAACCTTTAAAGCAAATAATATTTTATAGATGTCTGCTTTCAGGAGGTCACTGAATCATTTAGACTATATGAAAAATTAAATCAGCAGAACCTCTGGTGGCAGTGATTAGTTACTTCTAAATTTACTATTAAACACTGTGGATTGAACATCATTACTGGTGCATTGAGGTACACTGCAGCTTCTGAGAAGTGAGAGACAGCTGCTGCATCTGCAACCTGTTCAGCCAAATCCAGTTTGTCATCTGCATTTGATTTTCTTTTGGTACAAATAAATGATAAAAAACTAAAAATGGCAGATGTTTGTAGCTTTAGTGAAATTAATGGCAGCAGCCAAAATAGAGGAAACCATTTTAAAAACTAATATTTTCTAAAGAAACATGGTGGTAATTTGGTTATTATGCCGTTTGTAACTTGGCTGAGATGCCAAATCCGGCCCTTTATAAATAGTGACTAGGTTTGCACTTGGTTTTATTTGAGTTACAAGATCATTGCTGAAGCTTCTTAATGCAAGAAAGGACGGATTAAAAAAGTCCTTTGTAATTTTGAAAGACGTTCTGCCTTTCAAATGTAATCATTTAGATGATTATTGCCATGAGAGATCAAAAGGCTTATTCAGGGATTTGAAGTAGAACAAAAAAGTACTCCAGCTCTGACAGAACTATAAAAACCACCCAACCATTCCAGCTGATTTAATGCTCGGGGAAACTGGAGACACAGTGAGGAGGCCAAGCTGCGAACCTTTGAATAGAGGTAAATGCTGCTGCAGTACATGTTCAATCAGGAGGGTGATATGTGAGAAAAACAACACAAAAGGAATTGTTCAGTTATTAGTAACCTTGTCAGAACGGAGCAGGATGTTTGTGTTTCTACAGGGAGTTCAGCAACAGCTTTCTACAGCTGTTCTCTAAAGGCCAACGTCTGTTGTCATTCCTCTCAAAAATTTAAGGAACTCGACAGGAAAAGACCATTTCTGTCTTTTCTTTCTGTTCTGTTTGGTGGCGTTGTTTGACAAGATGTTAACATATGCAAAGTTTCCACGGTGTCCTTTCTACTTGTGATATTTAACTTTAAACAACAGTAGTCTGGAAAAACAAGGCAAACATCTTCCCTTTTTCTATCAGTGGAAAAAAATACTGCAATAACAGATAATGTGCAGCAATGTGAGAAAGAACAGACTGAAGGGATGAGAAATGATGATATTTAGACACATCTCCACCAGGCTGTAGGATAACACACTGTACACGTCTGTCTATGAACAACAAAAGCAACTATTTGTTCATCCATATTTAAAACATTTCCTCTGATGGTACACTAATTCATCCAGTCCAGTCGTAGCAAAGGGGAGAATTTCCACAGCTGGTTTAGTGAGATCACATGAAAAAACATCTTGATGGAAAAATGTTTCAAGAAATGATTATAGTACACAAAGAGCAGTGCAGTCTGTGAGAGCGACAACAGCAAAACGAGTCTGATCCGCTCAGGCTTCACTCCATAGGCACCCCCCGCCGCTTTAACACTGAAGCTGTACACTTAAGACACTGTGTTATCCCAGTTTGAGCTCAACAAAAGAATGTGATTCCAGAAGTAACACTAAGCCAACAAGGAGTCTGGTGTCTTGTCAGAAACGCTAAAACAAGTCTAGAGGTGAACAAACAGCAAAGGGGGATTCTGGGGTTTCTTATTGTGTTTACTCCACTTTGTTCAGTCCCCCTCTGTTCACTCCTTTCATCTTCAGTCAGTGGCAGAGTTGAAACAGACTAGAGGCTCCCAGGGGCCACGGAGGGGACAACATGGTGAACCACACAGGTGTCCTCAGGTTCAGCTTAGAGTGCATCATCACAGCGTTTCAGCATGTGAGTGAGAGAGATGGGAAATTTAAGTGTTGTGGCTCAGAGAGCGCAGCCAAATATTCCATCTGTATGGGTAACTTCATGCAGGACCCACATTACACACCAATAGTTAAGGGTGTCTTTTGTTTTTACTGTTAAACTGTCAGCAAGAGCTTTCCTCTGATTTAACCGAGAGGCAGTAACAAACCCTGACCAGACCTTAAGCTCAGTGCTGCTGCCAAAACACAGCAGGGATTCCTGGAGTCAGACACAGACGCAGACAGCGACTTGACGGTTTGGAGGGGAGAACATCCTCTACTCGGCAAATAGTCATAACAATCAGTCAACAGAGAGACACCACACAAAAAGGCAGACTGTAAGAGGAGCAAATGAAAGAAGAAGGGGTACAGTACCTCTCCCTGTTTCTGTTTTAATCGTCAGTGTGATTCAGGGACTTCTTCTCTTCTACTTTCATTGCTCTTATAAACATTTCATGGGAATCCATTTAATGAGTCCCACTCCCAGAGAAGGAGTCCTACTCACGTGGGTCACCTGAGCTTTCTTATGGCATCTAGACACTATTAGATGGATCTCCATGAAATGTCCTGTACAGACATTAAGGATTTGTTCAAAAAAAACAAAGCACCAGGATCAAGTCAAAGTATATGTTCATCCAAAACTTTGGTTAAGCAACATGAATAGCAACTTTAGGTTTACTACTGACATAGAAACCTGCTAAACCTCCATATGCTACACTATCGCTGTGAGCACCGCTGTGCTCAGGCTACTAGCACGGCCAGAGACTCGTTTCTGCTGTTGTCTCCCAGTTAAACCATGAAGGTCACCGTGTCACAGAAAACTAAATGTCACCACTGGAACAATAAAGACGCCTGCTGTCGTTCCAGTGACTTTTTGTTATTTAATCCACCTTTATCATAGTGTTCACACCCTATACACCAGGCACTTACAGCCACACAGCTTCAGGAGTGCACAAACGTGCACATCTGTATTAATGAGCACACATGAACTGCACTTCAACACATGCAATTATTACAGAGACGACAGGATGAAAAGGTTTCTGTCTGTGCTTCATCTGATTATAAACCCCCACACTGCGCTTTTCTCATTACACACATTGTGCATATTTCTTGTGCGACTCCTGTTTTCCCCTCTGTGTTTGTGTCATGCTCTTCCACTGAAGCCTCTTAGAACATGTCGTAGTTTATGTGGTTTTTCTAACACGTTTGCAAAGTCTACACTTTGACCTGCTTGCTGGAGTAGGACCAGGACTAGACCAGAGACAATGGACATTTAGGGAGGAATAGACACAAACCACAAAGTTAAATTCAATAAAGAAACATTTTAACCTTGATTACACATTTTCAGAGGCAAAATGAATAAAATCTAAAGTTTGCAAGCGTGTAATGGGGAATAGAAAGCAACAGAAATGTATGAGCCTCTCAGAAAGATGAGTTTTAGTCATGGTTTCTGCTCCTTGTCTACTTTTATTTCTCCGTCCCCTGCAACTAAACGAGTGACATGACGTTGAGGTAGTTACACCCAGCCAGGACACAGTAGTGTTTCCATGAGGAAACAGGCCTCTGTGTTTATGTGCTTTGCAGGGAGACGTTTAACGCCACCAGTTTCTGTGCGTGTCAGACATTTACCCGTCATACAATGCATTAGAACTTGGTGACACAGTAAAGATCCAATCCTTGTGTTCATCGGCTGAGCATGTTTTCTTTTACGAGTCTTTCCTACAAACCATGCATCATCATTTGTTTACAGCTCTGGCTCACACAACACACAGCTATGACTCCTCTGGTTAATGTGTCTCCTCAACGTATCCTGCTGTGAATGTTCAGCTAGTTTAGCACAAAAAACCTCAACAGGTGTTTGTCATGAATTTTGATTGAAAGACAAACGGACAGAGAGAGGACACAAATGCAGACACACAGGTCAGACAGGATAAGATAAAGCTGGGAGACACAGACAAACATTATCAACCAGAAAAAAGCAAAGCTTACCTTGGGTCCAAGCAGACAGGGAGAACAGTTAGAGTCAGAGTCAGAGTCCAAATGGGTTTAAAGCACAGAGGTAATCCAAAACTAGCAGGTGGAGTCCAGGGAAGTAGGAGTCTGAGTCAAACACTGGGAGCATGAGGAAAACAGGTGGCTGAAACACAGTGTGATGAGTGGAAGCTGAGCTAATGACAGAGGTGGAAACAGGTGAAGAGGTGAGCAGAGTCAGGTGACCAGGGACAGATGAGGACATGACTGTCCAGACAATAACAAGGGTCCAGACAGGAACACACCTGTCACAGGTGAGACAAGACAGGGTTAAAACTTTGAGGAAACTTTAATGAAATAAAACTTTAAGTGCAGCCCCAGTTTGGGCTGCTGATGTAGTGTACGCTCAAGTCCACAGATGAATGATTCTTTACATTAAAATAGTCCATTTGTTCATCTTTCACATTGTCATAGTGTTTATTTGTTGTTATATGGTTTGTTATTCTTTTAAGGTTTAGCCTCATTGTGCAAAGTAGGTCGTCAGTGAATAGTACTGTCACAACGTTAACACTGCCTTGGATGATATGTTTTGGAGGACGCCACATAGATCACAGCGTTATCAACTCACCTTGATGGTATTACACAGTCACTATTGTCTTTTTCGTACAACATGCCCTGTGTTATGTGGTGTATGTAGACAGCTGAGACTTGTTAAAGAAGGTCAAGTTGAAATATTACAATTAAAATGCTGGTAAAATAACAGAGTATAGAGTTGAGGTGGTTTGGGCATCAGGATGCCTCCAGGGCGCCTCCCTCTGGGAGGAACATGTCCCCGTTGCAGACCCAGAACACTTTGGAGAGATTATATATGCATCTCATTTGGCATAGGAATGCCTTGGTATCCCGCCAGAGGGTCTGGAACACGCCCGCTGGGGAGAGGGACGCCTGGTCTACCTTACTGAACCTGCTGTTACCGCGTCCCGACCCGGGATGGATGGATGTGACCTAGATGTAGACACACCAGACACTAAAGCACAATTCTGTCAAATTTACACCAGTTTAGTCCAGTTGTAACCTAAACATCTTGTTGATCTGACCTCCAAAACACTTAAAAGATAAGACCTGCACATCCACTGCCCTATAGGAGCACTAACCACTAACATAACTTAACAACAGAGTTACTTATGATCTAAATGATTTGTAAATAAGATAAAAACCAAACAAAGGAATTGCAACACATCAGTGCTCATACCAGACACATTTCATCTTTCACGTCATCGGCGGTTTAAATATGCCAACAGGCTGATCTTCAGTCTCTTTCACCTTCTGTCTGCTACCCTTTTGTCTCTCAAACACAAGCACACACACACACCGGAGGTCATGGTTTGGTGTCATCATCACTGGAGTAATCACGGTGATGATGGGGCGCTGATTGTGGCCGCCTCTCGATGACCGTTGAAAACCGGCAAGTGGATGCCTCTGTTTGCTGTCAAGGACTCGGAGTCATCAGCAGCTCATCTCAGTCACACACACAGAGGCACATGTGTGTAGAGAGGTGGAGGCAAGCTGGCGACCCTGCAGCCGCCCTGTCAGGTTTTCAGTCTGGTGGGAGACGGTTTATACTCCAGTAAAGAACCAGAACTGTAAAAAACAAACGGAGACAGAGAGAAAAGAGCTAAACACTGCCTCCAGAAATGAGGAACAGACCCCGCAGTGTGTATTCACAGCATGTCTCACATCTGTGTACACCACAGGAGCGTATTATTGATACATTAAGACGCATCCTGCCACTCCTGTGCTGTGGAAACTGTTCCCACACAGAGCTAGGCGAACACGGGGCTGCATGTACTTCATGCATTAAAAAGCTGTAGACACTGTAACCAGATACCGTCTCTGCAGTTCTTTGGAAAACAGTTTTTGAACATTCTGCACTTGTCCTTAATGTCATTCGGTGTGTACACATCCGAGTGTCTTCTCACAGACCACCAGAAGTGCTGCTGTTCCAGCTCCGTTGAGCTCTCGACTGAATCTGTTTCTAGAAAACACCAGTAGGAGGCAACAGAGTCCCAGCTGCATCTCTGGGAAGTGCCACATGTGGTGAGAACAAAAGGACATGTAGTCGCTCATGGGTGCATACACACTCTCTTTCTCACACATGCACACACACTTTCTAATGTGCACCGAAAATCAGTGACAAACCGCACATTAGCACCGAAACACGCAGGCAGCAGATCTTCTTCAGAACATTACTGCCTTTCACATCTTATGTTTGACTTTCCAGGGATGTCGTGCACTTGCATAGCACTGCACCCTGCTGCTCTTGGCATTTGCCTACAGTGCCTGTGTTTGGTTTGCAGCTCTGAGCCCATGTATTTGGTTTTAGGTTGGCAGAGCAAACAAACACACAGTACAAATGTTTCTGATTGAGAAGCACTTTTTAAAAGTCTCCTTGATTCCCACACATGATTTTTATGTATCTCTGAGCCACTGATCTGCTTTTGACAGAACCTGAGTAAATCATTTTTCTCAGACTCCGACTCATGCCACAACATGACATATTTGTTCCTGATCGGCCCGGACCGGGCAGAACGACACGTTCTCTGTGACTCGCTTGTTTGTCAGAGCATCCTTTGCTCGCCAAGCAGATTGTTGGCAGTGTGTGTGGGGAAAGAGCCGTCCTCGGAGCTGCACTGACCCCTGAGCTGAATGAGAAGGAGCTGGGCGGCGATGGCAGGCTGCTGGCAGGGGGTTAAGCTGTGGCCCAGATTCCTGCAGCAGTCTTTGTCCTGGAGGAGAGAGGATTCTCCTCATTCACCTCCCTGAGTGCCGAGTTACTTGCTGTTATAAATCCAGTGACAGAGAGGTTACTTTGAGTTACGGGGTTCTTTCATGTGATGGGTCATGCATTATGGATTATTGTGGGGTTACATGTAAGCGACTAGCTCACCAGATATTTGTTCACACTGTATTTGTTTATCCCCTGATAAAATGGGTCATTGTTCTGTGCTGTAAAGGCCACTGGAGTCAAAACAGTGTGGGCCATTTCTTTGTTGTTTTTATATATTCATCACAGGCCTTATTTGTTTATTAGTGTTTTTAATTACGCTGACCGTCCAGCACATGGTCTAATTTCTGTTTTCTCTTGTTTTACTGTTTAAACACGTGTCTAAGGAAATAAACCTTTTATGTTTTTTATAGAGGCACAAATATGAGTGTGAGCAGGTCTAGAGATGAGGTTGTAAATGTAAATCTAAATGTAAAATGTAAATTGACTTGATAACATGGATGCACACACACACACACACACACACACACACACATCATATTTCACCAGCTCTTTAGGAAAACGTTTTCACAGCATGTGGTACTGTGTGGTTTGTTGTCTCTACACTATATATTTTGCCATTCTTGAAGCTGAAAGCAGCTACTGGCCTTCTTCTTCTTCCTCCTCTTCCTCTTCCTCTTTGCTCTGACTGTGACGTGGAGCCTCACAGAGCTGCTGATGTAACTTGGGTGGCTGTTTTGCTCCACAGTGTGTTTACAGCTGAGCGCGTTGACGAACTCACCACTGGCCTACTTCATACTGAGATGAGTTTGTTTGAACTTATGCTGATCTGAATCTGCTTTTCATTACTTTCCAAGAACGTCGCTTGTTGTAGTTCTCTAAATTATTCCTGAATGTAATTATTGTTGGAAGGGCTGGGCTGAGCTCCTGCTGCTTGTTTATTCTGTGGTTTTCAAAGAGGACATTTACTTGTGAAAACTCTGATGAATCCTAATGCTGTGTATCATTTCTTTCAGTAAACGTAGCTTATTACCAATAAGCTATGTTTACCTGCAGAGTATTTTTTAAAGAGGAGATGTTTCCTGTGATGAACACAGAAGCGTTTTGTCCACAAGCGTTTTGTCCAGACCCTTGAGGTGTCGTCAGTGCCGCACAGAGGAATGGAGCTTGGCAAGTGTCTCCATTGTCCTGTTCTCTCTCTCTCTCTCTCTCTTTCTCTCTCACACACACACACACACACACACATAAGAGTAAGGGGTTTTGTCAGGAGGGGTGAACGTGGGAGATGTCCTTAGCTTTGGGTGGGCAGTTCTTTGTCCTCTTAATTCCCTGAATCCCCTCCCTCCTCCTCCTCCTCCTCCTCCTCCTTTATTCTCGTCTTCTCCCTCTTTTATCGGAGTGTTCGTGGCCCCCACATTCTCACAGCGACTCAGAGCTGCCGAGCGTCACATGGTAAGAACACTGGGCCTCTGCTCACACTAAACAACAAACCTGAAACACTCCTCTGAATTTCTGCTTCTTCCTAAAACTGTCCAACCAAATATTCAAGTGTTAGAAACAAGGTTGATTTTTGTGATGACTTATTGATGAGAGATGGATTTGGAGGAGGGGGTGTGCTTGGAGGGGGGGATTATTTTTGTTTTGGTGCTGTCTTTGCTTTTCATCTCTTAGAAATGCTTGTTAAAACGCTGCATGGTGAAGGTGACTTGTACTGTCGTTTGAGGGTCGACAAACTTCATGAATAAATGACAGTATTCTGTTTAAAGCTGAATATACGTAAAGTTTATTTCAGGTTAGAAGATCAGCACACAGCCACAGAAATCAGCAGTGGACTTTCTCAGTGGTGACGCAGATTCGTTCACTTCAGGCCTGAAACCTGTTAATTCGCTGAGCTAAACTCAGTGTTTTATTTGTGGCATCACACTGAATCTGTGCATCCTGACAAACACTTAAGTGAGGAGATATTAGATTTATTGAACATCATCATAAAATTATTTGTATTTTTGAAAGAGTGGAAAATGACATATTGAAAATAAATTTGGCAGAAATGTTAAATTTACATAGACTAAGTCAGCCTCACACTGACACAGCGAGCCGTGTGGTTATGGACGGATAAAACATGACACAGATTGCTAACACGTTCCCTCTGTGCGTTACGCTTCAGAGCGGAGCCTCTTATACCCCGGCCACAGCATGTGCAATATAAATATGTCTGTATTGTGTATGATTTTTACTTGCACCTCATGTCACAGATTTAAAGGACAATTCTGTTTTATTTGAAACCTGGTGTTTGCTTTTATTGTGGCTGAGTGTTTGTCCAGCTTCTATGTTCCTGAATCTGTACAATACTGGATAGTTAGTATGACACCTTCCAGGAAGCCAGGGGGTTGATATTATCATTAGAAACGTAGATGACCTCTAGTGACCCCAGTAGTTCATGACAAGCCATTGTGTTCATGACAGGGGTCTGGTGATGAAGTATCTTAGGGAGGGCAATCTGTTTAGCACAAGGTTGTGGTGGATGGATGAGTCAGAAAACCCCTGACGTTCCCACAAAATAGCAGAGGGTGACTGTTTGAACATAAGTCACGGTCTTTGACCAACCCTAAACCTACTGAACCTCCGAATTGATGAGACAGGACTAAGCCTTAACTACAGCTGCATTCACATCCCAGCGGAAGTGACCCAGACCTGATGTGTCCACAGCAGTGTGAACAGACCAGACCAGATGTGGGCCACCTGCGTATGTGCTCATAGATTCCTCTCTGACCTCTGACTGTGCAGCGCCGTCAGAAAGGTCAGATCAGAATCCATGTGGTCGTTTTAACGTCTCCTCCTCTGCACGGCCTGTTGTCATCATTCGGCGTCGGTCCTTCACAGACCCGTAACAATAAACACGGAGGAGAGCGACGACAGCGACGGGGTCAGTGGAGAGACCAGGATGTTTATGGAGAAGCTTCTGATCAGGCCAAACTGGGAGGAACATGTCGTAACCCAGTGGTTTGGGAGGAAACTGGGCCATTTGACTGTCACACACACGACCTGGTTGTTATTCTTGTGCACACATGGCTCACATTTCAGTTACATCTGTGCATGTGGCAGTTTAGGAGCTCAGCGGAGCCGGGTACAGGGCCCTGACACACACGGACGGGAAGCAGCGACACAACGAGGTCAGATCTGAGCGTTAACGTTAAAGCCTGAGATGTGAACGTAGCCTAACTCTGACATTAACCTATGTGTTTGTTTTAATGGCTGTCAGTGAGCGAGAGAGGGAAGATTCAAAGTCTAATTGTCTGATTGTAAAGCCATTAATTTGTTCTGGGAACAATTTGCCTGAAACAAAGAACAAAACCATCATAATGCTCTTCTGATTTAATTTTCTATTTCATTAGCAACAGGAAGCAACCTGTTTGCACACAGTGAGCCAGGGCACAGCATGTGAATGCATTTACTCTAATTAACACAGGCAGTAATTGTTTACATAAATGCAAACTGCAAATGTGGCTCATTAAAACAGCCAACCTGAGAAACAGACAGCAGGCAAAACCGAGACAAAGGAAATTATGAACTCAGACCAATTTAATTCATTGACTTAATTCTCAAATTAAAATTCTAATAAGAAATATGTATTTAATAACACACTAAATTTATCAACTGATATTGGTTTTCAAAGATATAGTGAGTTGTAACTTTGGCAGAAAAAGGACTTTATAGAAGACAATGACTCCATTTTAGAGAAATGAACGACTCACTGTGAGCTCAGGGATCCTCGGCTCCACCCTCCCTCCTCTCTGCTTCTGGACTTTTCTCGGGTAGCGTTTCTGACGCATGGCTGATTTTCAATAAGCAATGGGCAGCGACTCGTACCCCACTCTGTGTGCATTGTCCACTGTTTCTCCTAACATTTAACACTCATATGTCACGTCTCTGAGACACGGATGGAGACACAAACATCTAGTATTCAGCAGTTTGTTTTTTTAAAGATTACCAACGTTGAACAAGTTGTGGTTCTAATTGAAGTGTTTGATGCTGCACTGACACAGTTGCCTAAAGTTTCATTGTGGCTTTTATTCAGCATCTCTTTTGGACGACTAGAACACACTGCTGATGTGTACGGCTGTCAGACAGTTCTGACCGTTGCCTTCGAGGCCCTGTTACTGTATGTGGAAGGAATAACGAGGTCAAAGAGAGAGACAAGTTGCATCTCTGTGTTTTCTGTCCAAGCTACACTATTTTAAACATTAAAGGGGCACTCCACTAATTTTATGGCAAGCTGTTTTATTTATGGTACTTAAGCCCTGCTCAGCCAGAAGAAATGACCATGCTGATGTCATCACACACTGGGTGAATCCTCGTTCCTAGCTCAACCCAGAAGTCATTCTTGTCTGCATCATGAGGGATGTCTCGAGGCTCTTATTCCTGCTCCGAGAAGGATCGAGGAGGCGGCTGGAGGAGACATGAGCAAGGACACAAGAGACCATCCTTCACTGAAATCTTTTATGGCCCCATCATTGGAAAGCAGTTGCTGATTGGATGCTTCAGAAGAAAGGACGTCTCATGTCTTGTAAACGTGTCTCCTCGATTCCTCTCTCCTTGCATTTTTGTCTTGATCTTACAAGGGCGAGACTGAGATACAAGGAAGTGGGGGGAATGTGGATGCACAGGGAACTGGGATTTACCCCACTGACATTCATCAGACAAGGAGGGTTTAACAACACACTCTATGGAGCTGCATTATGGGAAAGTCGTGTTTTGAGACTGACATCAAGGTACTGCGTCTTGGGCTCTGACGCTTTGTTGCTGTGCAACAGCACAGCGACATTGGGTTGTCGACTGTATCTCGACCACTGGATGGATTACTGTAACATTTCACAGACATGGTAAAGAAGCAAGAGAGTGATGGTGTTTCCTCTATTAATACTGTACTGACCAACTAAAGTCTCCAAAACAATCTGACAGAAGCACAGCAGCAGGGGTGGAAGAAAATACTGTTACAGTGCTGCATTCAAGAGAAGTAAAAGAACACAAAGAAACTTGAAGCATCAAGTTGGAATTCTGCACAGTGGCACATTTTAATATCACTGGATTATGACGACTGATGCATTGTTGTGTTCATCACTTTAACGCTGCAGCTGGTAAAGAAGCTAAAATGTCAACTTTATTCCTGTGTCTCAGCAGCAATAGAGAGCAAACAACAAACACCAGAAGGATTTCTGAAAAACAAATCAAACAAGACAGAAAATAGCATTTAAAAGAAATCAAGAGCAACAAGATATTGTATATGTGCTTCAAAATGCTTCACAAAATTAGCTGTCGTTTATAGTTTTTTTTCCTCTCTGTTCCTGTGCAGCCACAATGAGCACCCTACCGAGCAGCTTCCTCTTCCTCCTCCTCCTCCTCTGCCTCCCTGTCCTCACTGAGGCCAAGCGGCCGTCTGGTCAGGGGAAACCTGACAAACCTCGCCAGCCTCCACCGACCCCCACACCGGCCAAGAGACCCAGAAATCGCTCAGTGCCCGGCTCCGGAGAGCTGACCACCAAGGGCGGGCATCGTTGCACCTGGCAGACATCTGGTGAAGGCCTGGTGAGCCTGCTGGTGAACTGCAGCACTGAGACACTGGGAGACCAGCAGAGGTGGGCGGAGCATATACAACATGTAAAATACCGTGACAAGACATTAATCCATTTATTGCCCTTAATTTAAATTTGAACTAACTTCTACTTCTTGTTATTTTACTCTAGTTTAGCCACTGCTTTTGTTTCGTCCTTTCTCCTGTTTCATTCATCTTGTTGCTGTACTGTTTCTCATGTCCTTCAGGTACTCATGCCGTTATGCCGGTAAACCAGACCTTTGTCAGGCCTATGGGGTGAAGTCCAGTCAGTACTGGAAGCAGCTGGTGGGTAAGCTGAAGAAAAGGCAGAATGCCTGTGAAGGAGAGAAGGTCATGAAAGCCAAAACCTGCAAGAAGGCGCCTGTTGAGGCCCACATGAAGCTCGCTGAGCGCAGCGGAGAGGAGGAGAGGAAGGGAGGGAAGGAAGGAGGGAAGAAGAAGGTGTCGCTGGCCAGTAAGAGCTCAGATGGAGAGAAGAAGAAGAAGAAACAAGAAGAGGAGGAAGAAGAGAAGAAGAAGAAAGAGGAGATAACTGGATTTGGGGATGAAGGAATGGTGAACGACATGGAGCCGGTGCAGAGCTACTGCAGCGAGGGGTGGCACGCCGTCTGCTCCTTCTTTGTCAAGTTTTTTGAGGGTTGATAGGAAATTATAAAGCAAATGCAAAGGTAACTTTTAATACATGATGGCGCAATTTCAAGATCTGAAAACAACTGAAATAAAGATGTTTTTTAATCATACTGGAAGCATCAGGCAGCAAAGGTATTTTTGATTTTGTCTTTAACTTTGAGCTGTTCAAGTATAAAGTTGATCACATTTTTAAATAAGCATCATCATTAGATTAAAACTTTTCAGATGCTGAGTAGGATTTGGTCTCAAAGCAAAATGAAATTATGAACCTTTACTTTTGTTCTTTATGAATTTAGGCCCCAGGCATCTAATTTCTAATGCTAGAAATAATCAAAACTCTGCAACCTAAAATACAGCCATTAAATCAATCCCATCAATACTGACAGCAAGCTATGATTCATAAACGTTCATCCCAGTCATCAGAAACACGGAGCATCTGCTGATTTGTATTAACAGAGTATGTTTAGCTTGGGGACATCTTGTGTCACAATATGTTGTTTTTTCTCCTCTAGAAATGTCAAATCAGATAAAACCGAACAGTTGAGTTGTATAAACTGTTTAATCTAACATAAAAATAATGTCCCTGTGGACAATAACAAGTCAGTGAGCATCAGTGATGATAGTAATGATTACTTGATGAATAGATTTGTCATTTATTCTCGTCTCTGAAGCCTCTTCTCCCCTAAAATGTGACCATAGGTTATTTGTACAAGCAGCTTATTACAGCCATAGTGGAGTTTAGTGGTTAAGCTACATGTTGTGGTTGTGTGAGACGCCATCAGTTTCAGCAAAGGCCCCAGAACAACGTCTATGTTCACACCCTCTAGTGGTCGTAGTAATGTTGGCGGGAGAGCAGGAGGAAGTCAGGTGACGTTTTAGAGTGACAAAGTCCCCTTAGGGAGGAGGATGGGGTGGGTGTTCAGGATGACAAACGCTGGACAGGAGGCCCCTGCTACTGTTTCCAACTGACAGTTCAGCTTTATTCACATTTATTACTGCAACCTTCACGACAAACGTCCCCAACGACGTTTTCCTAAACCTAACCAAACCTTTACCACATCACTCACACATTATAAAAATGCTAGCTATTTATTTTTCCAGTTTTTAGCAACGCATCAGTGACCAAGTAGCGGCTCCTATGGGTCGTATCAGAGTGTGCGGACAAATGACCTACTGTCTGTGGTTGTTTACGGCGGATGGCTCGGTGTGTTTTTCTGAAGTGGAACTAATATTTTCAATAACCTTGTGTAACTGTTTTGTAAAAGCAATCTGGTTACTGCTTGATGTGACCTGTGTCAGTTAAATTTGTGCAGCAATTTTTATATATTTGCAGGACTAATTTTAACACTGTTTCTGGAATTAAAGAATAAACAAAGTGCTTAAACTCAACAAATGCTTTGCCAGTTCTACCATGCAGTTCAAAATGCAAGTACACACACTGACTATTACCCAGCCATATAAATGTGTGACAGTTTGTCACTAACAGTTTCTCTAACACCAACCAGGTCGTTGTTCTGGCCAAACTGAACCAAACCTTAACCATGTAGGTGCCACCTCAGGAAGTAGTTTCATTTTTAGAATAGCACTTTAACAGCTGTGTGAGGGGATAAAGCGGTTGCGTCTCCCTGGCACCGGTGCATCAGTGAAAGCTCATATGTGCCGCCCTGAAGGGCAAAGGGACACATTTCATTTCACAGAATTTAACTGGTTCAGGTTGGGAAACGTTGTGGCCATGGTTAAATGATGTAAGATTCAACAGTGCCTTGAAACAGAGCTTTTCTTAGTAAAGTTTAAGTGAAACTAGTTCTACCTTAAGGCTACAGTATGTAACTGGCACAATAGTCCAAGTCAGTCCTCTCTGCTCCACCTACTGCTCCTTCTCCCTGCTCCACTCTGCTCTACTGCGACCTGCTATGCTCCACCACGCTCTGCCACGCTCTGCAGATATTGTTATGAAATTACAAGAAATGAGAATGTAATAACACTCACTGATCAAGCAGGAAGAATTGAAAATCTCTCCTGAGGAAATGCCATAGTTGCCAGGAGTAAGTTGTCAACAGCACTATCAGTTAAACTCATGATTCTGATTTAGGATTAAGTGATAAAGAGAGTACGTGTGAAACTCTCAGCTGTGGTTGACAGAACACCTGAGCCTGGCTGAAAACTTTGATGCCCAAGCAGCAGAACAGTCTAGCTCTCATGGGTTCATGGGTGGAGCATGTGGCAGCAGGACACCTTGCATTTAAATAAGACACAAGGCAGAGGGTTGGGAGCATCATTTGGAGGTTTTTGTAGAGACACGCATCCTGTTGTAAATCCTCCTCAGTATTCCAGTCAGTGAACAGGCTGCACCAATTTAATAATAAAACTCCTAATGTTGCGATGGACAATTCCCAAGGACAGAAAAGGAGGGAAGAAGTGGGAATTTGGAGAGCTGCTCAGTGGTTACCATGCCAACCACCCAAGAGGCAGTGTGTGTGTGTGAAAGTGCATGTGTGTTGTAGTGGGATCTATGGCTATTTGACAGGATGTATAGTGGAGCCTGCAATTTGTTAAAAAGGGGTTGTGTGACCCTGCGTGCACAAGTGTGTGTACTTGTTCAGACATACACACGCACTCCCACACAAAATAATCTAAAGAGCCTGGAGAGCTTTTTGTTTGGCTTAGTTACAGCAGTTAGAGAGCTGAACTCTGCATTCACTTATCAACCCATTCATTCATGTGCTCATTTTCAGGACATGCTAACATGCTAATTGTTACCCGGGCACCGTAAAGTCCACTTTTAGACTTGTTCTTGAAACATTTTCACTGCTTTCATGCTGTTTATTAAATTAAAAACTATCAACACTAGATGTGTATCACCAGACACCTATTCACACCCATTATCCACACCAAAAGTTGCTTTTATTGAAAAGGTTATTGCTCAACTGGGACAAAACAGATTATTACTTCCAGGTTGCTAGTGAAGCAGCATCTTCAGGCTACTTTATTTGAACTGATGACGTGAGCCCTAAAGGCCCAAGACGTGATTGCGTTTCCTTCTTCATACAACATGTGTCAAGCTGATTTATTACAATTTTCAAACCTGCATTGTTTGCATCCAGTGTTTACTTCCTACCAGTCTTCCTTGTGCCTGCTTCTACTGGCGTTTTTATACCTTACAGGTCACCCGTAGGCTGCAGGATAGTGTGTGCAGTGTGTCTTTGTCAAGTACACACAAACTGGAGCAACACAGCACTCCTCAGGACCAGCGAGCACAAGAAAGACCACGTTAAAACAAGGCAATAAAAGTAACAGTTAAAACAACTGAGTCAACATCAAGTGCTTGAGTTAAATAATTTAAAAGAGACAAAATAAGTGCAATATATTTTGTTTTAAAGGTAGCTAGTTATTTTCTATCAGAATGTTAAGTGTTTAACAGTTTTATGGACTGTGGGAAGAAACTATTGCACAGTCTGGTTGTCTTTCATTTTATGGAGCGATATCTCTGCCAGGTGGCGGGAGATCAAACAGTCTAGCATATATAACTAAATGCCTAAACCTGATTCTAACCTGAACCCTAAAACCAAGCCTGAACCTTCAAAGTGTGAAACTATGGAAGGATCTTTATCAATAATAAATGTAAAACTGCTTTTGAAATTTGCTTTTAAAATCCTTTGAGGGGAACTGCGAGGGAACCTGCAGCCCTGGAAATCTGGGTTCAAATCCAACAGGGACCCTGACCCGTCTTCTTTCAAAAACGGATCATTTAAATGTGCTGTTTTTAACATTTAAGCATCTTGCTTTGACAAATATTCTTTAAATGCACTATTACACTCTGCCAGCGCCATCTACAGACAAATACTTCTAATGCATGCTATCAGCACTAGAGTAGCAAAAAGGCACAGCTATCTAGAGAAACCACTTCTGTAACTGATATCCTGCTGTGATGATTAAGTCACAGCCCCAGACTGTGTGTACACACACTCTGGCTGCTAATACTGACTGTCTGTGACCAGAGACAGTTACAGCATGATTTCAGGTGTGACCAACAGTCAACCTGCAAGGTGTTCCCTCTTGGGTTGATGGTCAGTGTGTTAACAGGGGGCACAACTGTTGCATAGGTACACAAGCACACACACACTCTCAGCAGGGAGCAGCACGGGTCAGGTCCTCAAGAGACTCAGACACTAGGACCCCCCCATGTTGGACCCTGGCTGACTGCCTGTAAGGACTCAGGCACAGCGAGGGTCTGGCAGCGCTCTGCCTCAGCTCAGCTCAGCTTTTATTCCTTAGCTTTTCTTTACCTTCTGCATTTTATTTCTCCCAATTAGATATGGAGAACAACACCTCCATGGACTCTGCCTCACCAAACTATGGTTCCACTGCAGATGAAGCTACAGCCTTTGAGAGACACATTTCTCCTTAGTCTTTCAACTGTCAAATGTTAATGCTGCTTCCACAGTTGCACAAGAGCAGTTTTTTTGAAGTTACATCATCAGGAGTTGACATGTTATTGCCTCATATTTATAATTATTGACTTTAATACATTTTAAAAACTTGTAAGCAACCTGGCAACTGCCTTATTATATACTGTATTAGGTGAGATAACTAAAATCAGGACCTGCTTTGCAAGAATGAGCAGAAGACGTTAGTTGTCCTGTGACCTGGTCTGGTGAGTAGTAGTTTTATAACTTTGGATAAATCTGATATAATCATCTGCTTAGTTTACTTTTGTGCAATGAATTGTACCTGCTCTCTTGAAATCTTCAAGATTCTTTCATCAGTGAAATCAGCAGCTTCGTCAGCCCTCGTGTTGTTGGAAAGAATAAAAGCTGCACATGCTTGTCGCTCTTTAGTTACAGCGAGTCTCTACTGCGCTCTCCTGGAAATGTTTGACGTTGTTAATGTGCAACCTAAGGTCTTTATAAGACAAAACACTTCCAGCAAATCTTTACATGCACTGTTATTTGTTAAATGAAATTTTAAAATGCAGGAGTCACACAACAGATATACCTGAAATCTCATTTTCTGAATGTTCATTATGGATTTGATGATTAGAGCTTCACCAGATTTCACCACCAGGTGTCGCCTTTGGATCATACCCTCAGACGCTTTAGAGAAGTGATGGAGCTGCAGTACAGCGAGTCATTTAGGTGAAAGATGTGAATGGAAAATCTTTCATGTGAACTTGTGAAGTGGGGATCAGGAACAGGGGTCCACTTAAAGTGTCACAGACAGCTGATAGTGTTCCTCAAGATCAAATCAGCAGCCAACAGTCAAACTGACACTTAAAGATGTGGGTTTTGTCTCCTTCTGCTCTAATACACTCACACTGATTTATTGTCAAAGTTTTTATAAAAACGAAGGTTGGTTGGTTTTCCTCGGATTTTATCAGCCACGTGTCTCAGTTCTGAGCTGGCCGGACTATGTGCGGGTTAAAAGCTAAATAGTGTGTATTTCATGCAGGAGTTGCCTCCTTTCCTGAACTCTGTACGTCAGTAGGCCGGAGTAGGTGTAAAATAAAAGGCAGAGGCAAAACAAATAATCCGGGGAAAATTAAACTGAAACTTGAAAAACAGCAACACTGCAGCCTCACATCAAGCTGCCACCTCCTCTCTATCTCTGACCTGAATGGCATTTTCTGTACCTTCTCAGCCTCACCTAACTAGAACCTATCATCTGTTCAGATAACTATAGGGTGTGCTAAACAAAAACAAGGCACTACAATCATACCATATAGTTAGCCATCAGCAAGTAAACATTTTGCAGTTACTACAGACTTCACAGTATGTGAGGGGAACAGAAACACCCCCAGCGCATCAAACTGGAGAGAAGGTTATTTAGGGCATACCAGTTTGAGCTGTGTTCCTACCAGTTACCAGCTCCAAGCCTCTCACTATGAAGATGGTAAAAACCTGACTCACTGTACCCGACTGAGCAGCTGATCTGCTCCATTAGACAATTAGCCTTTTCACATACAGTACAGTCAGTTTTCAGCCCAGTGATGGTCAAATGGCTGAGCCTGAGGCGACACAGTGCCTGTATGTGTGCCAAGGGGTGTGCATGTTAATGGAAATGCACTGTATATAAATAGGACAGGACAAGAGATAATACTGCATACGTGTCACATGCCATGCTGTAAAGGTTATATACCTACAAGGACGACCTCATGTGAGAAGGACAAAACCAACCAGCCTCAGTTTTTTTCAAAACTGTAGTCACAATAACAAAGCACAACTTTATGAGGTTGGACGTTCATACAAATGTTAGGAACTCGTACGTAAAAGCAGTGCTATAGGCGTGTTTGAATATTTGTCACTGAAGCCACTGCTCCAGTGAAGAGACGACTAATGTCAGGAGGTGAAACATTAAATCTGATGAGATGAAGATCATTGC